GGATATGGCATATACTTGATCACTTAGCTAGGATCCATGCATCCAGTCGAAACTAATCTGCGGTACTTTCACCTAATGATTTAACAACTCATTATAATGTAAAAACAATCTGTAAATTAAATTGAAAACACAAAATTAAAGGAAAAATAGAAAATAAAACCAAAACCCCCTAAACATGCAGTATCGGTTAGTGTTACCAACCGGTACTAATGGTCTCCCCGCACCCGGGCCTGGCTCGTGCCACGTGGTGGCACTTTAGTGGCGGTTCGTGCCGAACTGGTACTAAAGGGGGAGACCTTTAGTCCCCACCATTTAGTGCCAGTTACAGAACCGACACTAAAGGCCCTTACGTACCGGTGCTAAATCCCAGTTCTACACTAGTGATATCAGTCCGAGTGTCAGAAATATACTTTCCCATCACTAGTCCAAATCTAATATCTAAAACTTTTTAAGTATTTTACTGTTGACACTTAGCACGCATATTGGCCAGAACTTATGAAGCATGCCTTAGCATCGTGAACTTTTGGAAACAAGGTAATAATGCCACAGAAACAGGGTAATAATGTCGTAATTCACCTCTCAACATCCAACACTCGTTTATGAAATGCATCAAACATTTCTTTCTAATCATGTGTAATATCTTTTCAAAACACTTGGTAAAATTATATAGGTAAACTAATAGGTTGTGTAGATTTATTATGGTACAAACCAAACAGGTCTTTTTTCTTCTCCTCCAAATCAAATTCCTTCGTAAGAAAATATTGTTCCTCGGTACTTAAGTGAGAACAATGTAAACCATCAAAAGAAATGGAGGTAGCGTCATGAGCACCAAAAAGGGTTTTATAGATTTGAGTAATGTGCTTTATCTGCTCATCATCTCCTAGGCTCAACACCATTATTTTGCAAAGTTGCAAAAAAATTTCGTCCAGCGGCTTTGAGATGGAAGTAGTTAGTATTCCCATCTCCTTCTAATAAAACATTATTGTTTGTTCTCTGTTTCCATTTCAATTCTTCATTTCTAAGAAGCTTCTTTAGATTAGTAGCTCTAGTTTCATCTTTTTTTACCAAATCATCAAAGTTGCTCGAAATTTCTTTTTTTAGATTTCTACACACCCTTTCGATATTGATTTGCCACCCATTCCAATGTCTCCTCAATCTCCTAGTTTTCTATTGACATTTATCTTACCATACTTACGTTAAAGAGAATAGGTATTCATGGTTTGGTTTAGTCCTTTTCGTTTGGTTTACACATGCTAAGCGATCTGGGCCAGGTATTGTATGTTGATGGGCCTTTTATGGGCTTTCATAGAGACCGCGAAAAATAATTGGGTCAAAATAAATCAACATTGTGGGAATTGAACACATGACCTCCTGTCTAGCTCTTCGATATAAGAACCAACGACCTATGCGCCTTTCACAATTACTAATCCTAACTCGGTCTAAATATACGAGTGGCAATCATCATGTTTAGAGCGAGCTAATTAAGCGAATGAGCTAATAAAGGAAGGATTGTGGGCTTAAATAGAATATTTAAACGGATGTGGCTAATTAAAGAAAGGATTATGGGTAAACTGGTGGAATAACTAATATAAAGATTGTGGCCTTAATAAATTCTACTAATATAAAGATTGTGGCCTTAATAAATTCTACATGAAGGATTTGAGGTAAAAATGTACTCCCTCCGTTCCAAAATAGATGACCCAACTTTGTACTGACTTTGTACTGAGGTTAGTACAAAGTTGAGTCATCTATTTTGAAATGGAGGGAGTAGGATGATTAAAAGGAAGGATCTTTAGGCTTCAATGTGTTGGGACTACTAAATTAGAAAAGGAAGGATCTGATTCCTGACTAAAACGGGCGAGGATGTTATGGTAATTAATGAAAGGATTATACTTAAATGCCATTAGAAAAAGATTGCACTTAAATGGAATCAATGGAAGATTATGCCCGGCAAGGAAATATGAACAAGGCTAAATTGCAACGTATTTTGTATGTTCATTTTGTAGAAAGATGGTGCGTTGCAGCATGTTCTTCATAATGAATTCCATGTTATGGAACATTATGCTTGCACAAAATATCAATTTTTCCTCGTTACGACGCATGGGCATATGTGCTAGTCATACATACAAAAGTAGAAGTATTCCAGCTTTTTTCGCAACCTAGTTAAAACCATCTCTCTCCTGCCAGCATGTCTGAAATCTCAAGATATCACTAATAAGAGGGGAGCTATCCCAGTGCCAAGGAGTAGTTGCACATGATCAGACAGCTCGTGCTAGCAGCATGAGCTCATGGGACCAAATAACATGGCCCAAAGCTGCCCTGTCCGAACGACCAGTCACTCCCATTTTCTTCTTCTCTTTTCATATAGAAATGGACCTGTCCATGTTAAGAATCGATCCATCAGACTGCTTCCAAAGCCAGCCTCTACGTGCGTGTTTACCGCCGGCGAGAAGCATCGACCGGCCGAGCCAGGCTGTACACGTGCGAGATCGCCGGAGAATAGTAACCGGCGGTCCCGGCCAGTGCCAACAGCAGACAAGCACACGCGCGATGCGATCGAGTACAGAAACTCCAGCCATGGCTAACGATTGGACGTTGTGCGTGTATGCATGCATGCTTGCCAGCAGATAGCACGTAGCGGTCAAAATAATCGTCCCTCAGGCCGGCGGCTTCAGCCTTCAGCGCACGATAAGGCCAACTCCACCGCGCGACTTCAAACGAACGTTCGTTTTGACTGGATTTTGTCCCTTTGAGACACTGATGGGTTCGCCCATGTCCGCCTCTGTCCGTTGAGTCGTGCATGCGTCCACCGCACGACCGCATCCCAAAACTTGTCCATGGACGTGTTTAAAAAAACATAAAAACTTAAACAAAATGACTTAAAAAGGTAAATAAACGCAGTTTAAAAAACTTAAAACTTAAGTTAGGGTCCATGGCCACAAAGCGGCCTAGTTTCACGTCCAACTTAACATAATTAAACATAAAACAGAAAATAAAAAACGGCCGCCGCCAGCGCGCTCGTGCCCGTGCCCGTCGATGCCGTCGCCGTCTTCAGTGGCCGTCGGCGTCATCCTTGTCGCTGACGAGGTCCACGTAGGCCGACGGCGTCCAGAGGTGGGCCGGCGGTGCGTGGTAGACGGGGGCGGGCTGGACGGCGGGAGGTGCCTGCACGACCTCGAGGACAATGGAGGGCTAGGGTTTGGGGCTGTTGGGTTTCGAGGAGGCCGTGGGATGGCGTGGGGCAGTGTGGACAACGACAGGTCCATGCTTCCCACTTAAAGAAAGACGACGACCTTCCGATGTGCGGATGACAGGTGGGCCCGCCCGCTCGTGCGCATTGATGTGGGCGGGTGGGAGGTAGGTGGTCGCCTGTCACGCGGCCCCGACGCGGACGAGGCGCGCGTCCGTTTGGTGTCCGCCGCGACTCAAACCCGGCGCAAGTTTGCGCTCGAAATTGGTCGGTCCGGACACAAAACGGACAAGATGGGTCCGGGCCGTCGCGCGCTGGGCCGCCTCGTTTGTTCCTTTACCCCAAACGGACGGGCCGGACAAGATGGGGTCGCGTGATGAAGATGGCCTAACTCGGTGGAACCATGTCTGGTTGCATTTCTTTGTCGTCACCACTCGTCAGGTCCAAGCATGTTTGAATGATTGACCCCATTCATATAAGTAGTATGATGCATATATAGGTGGATCGGTCCGTCCGTACCTAGCACACGGCAACAAGTCCACCCCGCTGCTGTTTTTAGAAATTTACTGGTAAAGGAAAAGAAAGACAAATACATGCATTCAAATGGGCTTGCTTTTTTATTTTCGGGCTGGGATTTTAACTTTTTTTGTGTGTGTAGCATATAATATATGATATTATTGAACGAAAATTAACAGTATATATGTACAAAGTTTCATCGATGTACGTACTACGCAGGGAACATCCATACATACTCATGTAAGAATATATATTTTTGAAACTTAAAAAAACCTTTTTGTGAGCCTTTTCAAAATAAAGTGCTCCAATGCACGAGTGCTCCAAAAATCCACATTCACCATTGGCTCTACGATATGGCCATGTCATTTAGAGTGAACATATAAGACTGGGAGGGGATTTGGGGTATGCAGGTGCAGGGGCAGCAAGTCCCTCGCCCGTGTTTTTTCTTTTGGATTTCGTTTTTTAAACTTTCATATCTTTTAAATAAAAAGTCCAAATTAAGTACCATTTTCATATTTGCCTTTTTCATCATGAGGACTTTCAAATAAGATCGTTTTGAATACATTTTGATAAATTTTGAAAGAATGTGAAGTTTCAATACTCGAAACTTAGTACAAGTGCTCAATAAAATCACGAGTTTAGTACCTGCGATCGACAAAAAAAATCGCCTAAAGTTCCAACTCTGAAACTTGATACCCGCGACTGAGAAAATCATATTTTTCAGATGCAAAATTGTAAGTTCCTACTACTATTTAATCTTAAAACTTACTGTGCACTCGTGCGGGATCCAACTACTTCAAAAATTGCGATGCAATTGAGTGGCTGGGCGGGGCTTGGCAGGTGTTTGCCCTTGTGAATCTTCGATATAGAACTGAGTAGATGATCTCCACCGACATATTTATCTCAACGTCCAACTATATCATCACAACATGTGTGCAGGCGGAAAGGTCTATCTCAGCATGTAAAAATGTTTTCATTATATAGTATACGATTTTATGTTCATTAATTATTATTTTATAATTATGCAATGGCCCTATATATTTAGGACTGAGTAGATGATCTCCTTACGAGAACGCTTTTCCTGGTTCAGAAGAATAAGATACTCACCCGCAGAAAAAAGGAGTAAGATACTGAAATTGTCTAGTAAATTTGATGCAACATTCTGCTGGGCTCCTCTATGTATGTACACAGACCTCTTGAGCATGAAGGCAGCCAGACCGGTCTCGTGCATTGCCCACTATATATCGTGGGGGTCGATCAAGGGATCGATGCAAGATTTGCCTCGACCGATCAGTTCACGGTGACGATGGCCAACAGTAGTTCACCGGGCTGCGTTCTCCTGGCGGCGACAATGGCGCTGGGCGTAGTCCTTCTGGCGTCGCCGGCGGAGTCCGCGCGCGCCTTCTTCGTGTTCGGCGACTCCCTGGTGCACAACGGCGACAACAACTATCTGATGAGCATGGCGCGCGCCGACTCGCCGCCGTACGGGATTGACTACCCCATGCACCAGCCCACCGGCCGCCGCTTCTCCAACGGCCTCAACATACCGGACATCATCAGTACGTACTACGTGACGACCACTGCCATTGATTATCTAGTGCATGGCGCAATTAATGTAGTCGTGTCTCAGGTGAGCATCTCGGCGCGGAGCCCACGCTGCCCTACTTATCCCCGGAGCTCCACGGCGAGAAGCTGCTCGTGGGCGCCAACTTCGCGTCGGCGGGCGTCGGCATCCTCAACGACACGGGCATTCAATTTGTACGTGCGACACGAATTCATCTCTAGTTCTGTCAAATTTACAAGTTTGTGCAAAAAAGAGTACTAATATCTCAATCAACCATACTGGTAAACCATGGGATCTACTCGTACACAGATGGAGATGGTGAGGATGAGCAGGCAGCTGCAGTACTTCCATGAGTACCAGGGCAAGCTGCGCGCGGTGGTGGGCGCGTCCCAGGCGACGCAGATCGTGAACAGGGCGCTGGTGCTCATCACGCTCGGCGGCAACGACTTTGTCAACAACTACTTCTTCATGCCCTTCTCCCTCCGCTCCCTCCAGTTCTCCCTTCCCAACTATGTCCGCTACCTCATCTCTGAGTACAAGAAAATCCTCGTGGTAACAACACTTGTACTTTCTCTCTGTATTTCCTTCGTTTCTTTTTCGGAAACGCTAAAAATCTAACGTTATATTTTTAGCCATGGCAAGTCTGACTTTTTTCAAGGCAACTTATATTGGCGTGATGATTGCAAATTTAATTTGCAAGGACAGCAATATTTTAGCCAAAAGATAAGCTAAGACAGATTTGTCTTGATTGTCTACTAAACTTGCCATCCTCGACGGACATAACTTATCATAAAAATATTCGATTTGCTACGGTCAAAATCTGAATTTGTAGTGTAGTCCATTTTATTCCGCATATATGAGACTCACATACGGAGTAAAAAAAAGGAAGGGAGTACTAACAAGGTCGACAAGCACCAGCTGACACGTACGTACACTGGAAAGTATGCAGAGGCTGTATGATATGGGCGCGCGACGTGTGCTGGTGACGGGGACAGGCCCGCTAGGTTGCACGCCGGCGCAGCTCGCCCGGAGCCGTGGCGGGAAGTGCGACGCCGACCCGATGCGCGCTGCGGAGCTGTTCAACCCGCAGCTGACCCGGGTCCTGGAGGAGCTCAACGCGCGCTACGGCGATGGAACGTTCATCGCCGCCAACACCTTCCGCATCCACTTCGACTTCATCACCGACCCGAGGCGTGCTGTGGGCAGGGGCCGCACAACGGGATCGGGTTGTGCACCGCGCTGTCCAGCGTCTGCACCGAGCGGGACCAGTACGTGTTCTGGGACGCCAACCACCCAACTGAGCGCGCCAACCGGATCATCGTCGGCCAGTTCATGACCGGCTCGCTCGACTACGTCAGCCCGTTCAACCTCGGCACTGCCCTCCACATAGACGCCGGCCTCATGGACTGATATATATACTCTGAGTGTCCATGACGCGTGGGCCACGAACGCGTGAGGGGCCCCTCGCCGTCTGTCGTCTTTTGCGTTGATCTCTTGTGTGGCGATGCGGTTGTTGTCTGTTATTTAATTTGTGTATATACTTTTTTGGCACTTGTAGTGACTAATTGATAAAAAAGATTCAGTGTTAGACGAAAATAAATATATATCGGGTGGGGTAGTAGCTAATTAACCATGGACAACTATTATGACATTTCTTTTATTTAGCCTTAACTGTACTACAATACTATGACTATATTCTTTTCGAGAATTATAACTTATTATCCCTTTGAGGCGAGAGAATAATAATGTATTGTCTATAAAGCAGGAAAAACTTCAAGGTCTTCCAATGGGGCCATCCAAAAAGTACATTTATCTTCACAAATTAAAGGGACTCCCTATTCGGCGCCTTTAGCGCCCCAGAAGACAACCGGCGCGCATTTGAGGTTCACATGGGCTGGCCCACGAAGGCGGGCTGGTGGCTTGCCCGGGTTGCCCCTTCCATGGGTTTGCTCTTTTTTTTTGCGGGGACTTGAGTTTGATTTGTTGAATTGACACTGTTAACCACCGACTAGCCCGCTGCCTATTCGAAAAAAGTTTACGATTTTGAAAAGTTCATATATTTAAAAAATAAAAAACATGCAAAACGTTTGTGAAATATGAAAAAGGTTTTGAAACAAAAACTCATGATTTCAAAAAAACTGTTCATGAATTAAAAAAATCATAAATTCTAGAAGGTTTGTGAATCCAAAAAAATTCACAAATTTGTAGAAAAAGTTTAAATTTTTTAACAATTGTTCACAATATTTACAAAAGTTCACCAATCTAATGAAAAAATTAGATCAAATTGAAAATGTAACAAGAAAAAAAAGCGAGAAAAAAATAGGAAAGAGCAACAAAAACATAATTGAAAACAATAGAAAGAAAACAATAACCGATGAGAAGAAATCTAGTAGAAAAAGAAAAAGGGAAATGGGTTGGAAGCTTGCAGAAGCTTCCCGAAAAATGGACCAAGAAGCTTCTAAAAGTTTCACGGAATTGGCGTG